TTGGAGGGAACATCATTGCAGACTCTGATATTGCCCCTACAGGCCCTAGACTCAGACTGGTACCCGCTAGACCTAGCCTACACTACCGGCCTCTAAAAATGCCACTTTTGTCTTCTTCTGCTCGGCCTCCGGTACCTGCATATTTACCCCCCTGCCGGGTGCGGTACCGGCCTACCCGCTACTTGAGTGCTTTTTTCCCCACTGCAACCCTTCGAAGCCACGGCCACAGGTAAGTACCGGCCCTGAGGACCCAACGAACGAACAAGTGCCCTGGCGGGCCACACACACACACACTCATACCAACCAGCACTCAGACAGGCACAGTCACACACGCAAGCCAACCAGCACTCAGACAGACATGCAGTCCAGCAAGCACACACACACACAGACTTAGCAGGCGGGGAACTCAGTAGGGCATTCAGTCTATGAGCAAAACTCAGAAATCAGCTGTGTGTTTCAGTCCGTGTTTGGACGGGTTATCACAGAAGCGGCACCTGCTGGAAAGCGGGTCCAGCGTCCCTTGGATACATCTCATTAGTACAGAGTTTGCTGATGCATCAACAGCTGACATGGGCTATTATTATGGCTATACTACCGCTATAGCCTTCTCTGTTTCTCCGGTGGAGCTCAAGCTTTCTCATGGAGCTGCAAGCAACCCTTCCTATTCTGGAGCTCCTTCCTTCCAGTGGCCCAGCCCTACCGTCTTCACCCGAATAGAACGCCCGGTCATTATAGCCGTATTTGGCACAACTTTCAGCCCAGATACGGCGACAATTACCAAGCATTCTATTCGGGTGAAGACGGTAGTCCTGGAATTGCGCACTGCTCCTTCTCTCCCTATATCCCTCTCTGGGCTGTCTGTCTCGCTGCATTTCCTGGTCTGTGCGGTCCCCCTGTAACTCTATGTTGTGGCATCGTTGGCCATGACCTGATACAACCTGCTCAGTTAATCCTCTGGACCCCAGAGCAATCAATGCTGGCGGGGTTTTCTCTACTTCAGTCTGTATTTTCACTCTGTATATGGGACGCTGGACCCGCTTTCCAGCAGGTGATGCTCCCCACCAATAGATGGAGCCTCTCCCCCGGTGCTAGCGGTGTTGCTCTTACCAGCACCTCTAGCACTGAAAAGGGCCATTACCCCTGTTGTGCATTTCGTTTCCCCTGCTTGCTTGCATTTCCCAGTTCTGTAGGCTCTCTCTCTTATCCCTAAACCCTAAACCCTAAACCCTAAACCCTCCCGGAACCCTCCGCTGTCACTTCGCCGGCGCCAGTGCAGTTTTGCATCCCCACGATGTCCACTTTTCTGTGGAGAGGGGTGACCTCAGGCATTGTGCCCACCCTTCGCCCTTCTTTTTACACGAAACCCCACTGCGCAAGGCCCCTGTCCTGGTGGTGGTAATGGAGTTCCCCCGGGAATTTAGATCTTCCCAATCGGGTCGTGTCCCCCCTCTCTGTCCCTACAACAACCTCATCTATCTACTGTATCTTTTTTTCCCCCACGGGACTGGAGCTTAATCAGCTGGCAGAGGGTTCAGTCACTTCAGTATTTATCTTTTTTTTTTTTTTTTTTTTT